ACACAAAAAACAAAATTTCTAATAAAATTTTGATGGATGACAGTATGCCATCCACTTCCAAACAAAGCTACAATTTTACCGTTGACAACTCTAATGAAGAATTAGTAGAACCACTCGACAGTGAAACTAGAGTTACACAAAATATTTCAACCTCTTTACTTGAAATGGCCAAATCCATACCACTCGAAGCTCAAAATAGGGTTACAGAAGTAATATCACAACATTTTTCAAACTCTGTGCTGGAAAAGGCCAAAACCTTAAGTTTTGGTAATTGCAATAATTGCACATTCAATATTAATATTCATAAGAGTTAAAAACCTATTTTTTTTAAATATTTCTTCATTTGTTAGTCATTTTGTTCTGTAAATTTGTAAAGTTCCAATAAATTTATTTTTGTTGCTGTGTACAATTTTTGGCACATTTTACTTTTTTTCACTAGTGCGTAAAGTACTTTTTTTCACTAGTGAAAAAATTAACTTTTATATTTCTAATATTAGTGGATTATGTGTACGGTAGTAGAAAAAATATTGTATGCCACTCGTGTGTAAAGTCCCTTTTTTGACTCATGTGATTGTCGCACTCGCCTACGGCTCGTGCGACAACATTCACATTCTTCAAAAAAGGGTAACTTTACACACTTGTTGCATAAATAACTATTTTGTGGTAAACATTTTGGCTAAAATCTTTTTTTATAGCTAACTATAATATGGCCAACTTTTTTTTCGCGTAGCAAAATTTTCAAGTAGATGTAACTCAATAAGTAAAAGTCCAATAAAAAAATGTTTTCATTAAAAGTTTTTTTATTTTTTTATGAACTTTAAGAAAATGTTAAAAAACGGGGTTTCTTTTTAAAATAAAAAAGTCCACCTCGATACGGCCATATTATGGTCAGCTATAAAAAAATGAATTTCGCCAAAATGTTTCCCCCGAAAAACTAAAACTTTTGTCTGAAACTTTTTTTTATAAAATTTATATTTTCGGCGGTATGTAACTGTAACACTTTAATTTGAACACCCGGTATAAGCAGATTGGTTACCGTAGAACGACCTTCCCCAATAATTTCTCTACACTGCCAATTCAAATAGTTATACATTAAACTATCGAATCCCAAAGAAGGTTGTATAGATACACTACGATATTTTTTAATATCATTTCTTGACCCTGATTTAAATATAGGAGAAATGAAACTTTCTTTCCAAACGGCTTCAAGACAGTTCAAGACCAAATTAGGGATACCATCAGGACCAATCATTAATTTATTAGGCAATGACCCCAACTTTTCAAATACCTTAGCCACACTTATAACTGGACAGTTAATATTAATTTTTGGTAAAGAATTTTCAAGAGGTATCGGATTTGAATTTGAGAAGACTGTAGCAAAGTGATTAGCAAAAAGATCTACAATTTCTTGACTATCAGTGGCCATTACATTATTCAGATTCATCTTTTTTGGAATTTCATTTGAACTTTTTTTGTTTACAAATTTCCAGAAATTTCTTGGGTTCGTAGTCAGATCACTATTTAATGTTTTTAAATAATTCTTGTTAATTCTGTGTTAATTTTTTACACTGTGCTCTCACCCTACTAAATTCTAAATAGTCTGTAGCATTTTTAGACTTTTGATATTTTTTGTGTTTGTTTTTTTAAGAGAAATCAACCACCTTAAATCACTAGAAAAGTAAGAAGGAACATTGGATGATTTAAATCTATTCTGTGGAATGAAACACTGAAAACCATAGTTTAGAATTTCATAAAATTCCGAAACAATATCATTTATATCACTATTAATGAAAATAAGACCTCAATCTATTGAAAATAAATAAGCATTTAGACCCTGATAATTACCATTTTTAAAATCAAAGTAAAAACTCTACTTAAGTGGATCTATCTTTAGCATTATTTAACCTAAAACTACAAGAGTATGAAGTATGATTAATAGAGTCACTAAAAATAGGGTCCAGCGATTTAAAACAATCAGTGGAATAATCATTTGTAAACAGTAAATCCAAAAATATGTTTCGGCTTTTCGGAAGATCGATCATTTGTTGGTACATATTATAAAAGCCATACATTTGTGCCAGTTGTAAAGCACTCTCACTCCATTATCGGCATTCGACCACTGCGCCTCAGGAAAATTAAAGTTCCCTACTATGTACAGCTTATGGGTCGATTCTGAGACAATCTATAAGATCTGTAAGCCAAAATCTGTAAAAATTACATTACACAAATTTGTTCAACTGTCGACAGTGGTCCCTGAATAGATCTTCAGACGATCTAGGAGACAATTAAGATTTAAGATTTAATTAGGACTATGGGCCATGTGGCCTCCCCCACCTTGACCTTTTCAGATCTATTGTGGATATCCTTTAATCATTGTTTAGAGTACCTTGTCTAATGCGGTCTTTTGTAGTAGACTCCATAGACTGGGAAGTAGTTCTCCGGTATAGCTAGTTTCCCTTGGTTTTTCTTCTCCAAGTGTAAGGAATCTCAGTCTTACTAGACCTTCGCAGTAGCACAATACGTGTTCTGCCGTTTCCTCTTCTTCTTGACAGAATCGGCACAAGGCCTCTTCTGTCAGACCGATATTGAACATATGTTTGTTAAGCCTACAATGCCCTGTTAATAGACCTACTAGTATTCTAGTATTTTTCCTATTAAGGCTTAGTAGATGCTCGGTGAGTTTAGACGATGGTCCTTTTAAGAACTTTTTGGCCTGTCTCTGTCCTGGTGAGTTTTCCCACCACTCCTGAGATTTTTTAAACATCCACTGCTTTGTGCATGTTCTGATAGGAGACAATACAAACAATTGCTCCAAGCTTAACTCGGAGTTTCTGCCAATTGAGGCCTGTATGTGATTTTTCACCAAGATCAGAACACCCCCGTTCTTCTTCGCTGTAATTTGTGCATTACGGTCCGCTCTAAATATGTTGTAGTTACTGCAACATAGTTCCTCTGAATAGATATCTTCATGTAACCAGCTTTCTGTGATAATAACAATGTCATAATTTGAAGAATTTACTGTCAAACTAAAGTCCGACATTTTGGTACGCATTCCACTAACATTTTGGTAGTACATTCGTAATGATGTATTATCTAGTTTTTTCTTCCTGCCGGTCGGTCTTTTTTTATAACCTTAGGACAACCATTGATACCGAATAGCAAAACTCTTATCGTTCCCTTCATTTTTCAGCTAGTGTTCTTAAATTGCTCCTTCTTTATTGAAGTTTGATCAGAGTTTATCTTATAATCGAATTGCACTAATTTTTTCTTAGCCTTCAAAACTTCTTTAACACATGACGGATCAGCACATATGACGTTTAGTGGTCTACAAGAGTCTTCTTTCTTTCTACCTATTCGAAGTACCTTTTTTGACTTACTTTGATTTTCTTTTACTATACGGAGAATGGTCGCACTGCGCAGCTTTCTGAGTGCCTTTTAAAAGGAGATAGAAAACTCCGCCATTTTGAACCCTTATTACGTGTTGCCTACATCTTGGCGCAATATTTTTAATAGGTGCGTTTTAATCATCCGCTTCTGCTTCGGAATTGTCGGTTTTCTTGTTTTAATCTGACAGGTTAAAACGACTAAACCGACAATTCCGGAAGCAGAAGCGGATGATTAAAACGCACCTGATATTTTGCTTGCTGCTGTCAGTGTCAGTGAATATAATTTTTGAAGTCACAGTTTATTGCTAAAGAATCAGTTAGCTCACTCGGACCAGTTGAAAGTTCCAAAATAACATCCACTCCAGGGATACAAATTCAGGGTACGCAGAAGACTGCTGTTTATTATAGGCGGTTATCATTTATTGTATTATCCGAGTTGCACAGTGTATAAACTGAAACATTGAGATCAAAAGTGCCGACGCAGAGTGAGCGATCTGATTCTTTAGCTGTAAGCTGTGTCACAGGGTTCAAAATGGCCGCACCCTATGTTGGGGGTGTCGGACCTCTCTCTTGCCTCGTATAGTAATCAAAGTATGTGTATGAGACGGATAGCCGGTATAATACACTGAGAAAAAAAAATTAATGAACGTAATAAATGCTATATACTGAGAAAAAATATATGGAAATTGAAAATATTATTTTACCTTATTTATCGTGCATAAAATTTATATAAAAAATATTGGTTTATATTACGGTAGTTTCTGTCATGATATCTATTACTCATGTACAAATCCTACTTCCCATTAAAATAAAAAATTTGTTGTTGTTATGTTTCCTACTGTGAGTTCCAATTACACATCCGTAAATGTTATTTTTGACTTTTAATATTGGTATGGGACCAGCCACTTTTAGGTGTGCGCAAGGCAAAATTACAAATATTTCGTTGTTTCTTACCTTGTAGAACATGGAAATACTTTGCTATTCCCTACAGCGATGGGGTATTCGATGACGACGTCTTAAAAAAATCCTGTTTAGATAATGTGTACCAAAAAAGTGTCACTGGCTCCCCTACTATACAGACTAGATGACAGTTGTTTAAAGTAACGATGACCGAGATTAATCGTCGTAGTCAACCCAACAGCTGTAAGGCGAGGATAAGAAAGAGAGAAAATATAAGTTGTATGAAAAATTACTAGATTCAAAAGTTCCACGCTTTTTTCGCACATTAGTAATGAAAAATTGACGAATAACGTGAAAGGTGGATTGTCATTGTTTTTAAATTACAAATAAAACACATTTTTATAAAAATAAAATATATTTTTAACTCAAAACGAATCGGCAAATAGCAAGGATCACGACTAAACTAGTCAAACTGACAAGCTGGCAAGGTATCTATGTGTCAAGCGCGTTGAAGTTGAAATGACAGCCAGCCGGATTACCCCCACTCCATTTTTTTGCAGGAAATGCTTTGTCGCTTCTCTGTGGTTGTTCTCCTCGGATAATGTTCTCAATGCGGCCATATTTAATTCTTTAGAGTTTCTGTTAATAAAACCAAGTAACTATAGTGATTTTGAAGAAGGTAATTTAATAAAAAAATATATATTTTTGTTGTAGGCTCTTTCTCACAGGAGATCTCAGTCATTGCCTCCAAGATTGGGCGTCAAGATGAAGTTACCGAATCAATCTGATTTGAAGTTGATTGTCTCTGCTCCATATTTGCAAACGTACAGATTCCATTCCGGTTTAGGAGGAGATATTTCAGTTCACGAATATATGGCCGAGAGCAGAATATGTTTCTCATTACCACGACAAATATTGTGAGTAAATCTTGGATGCTGAGTGGTCGACTCGATTTTCGTATACAGTAAATACAGGTTGTTTTCCTCAGGGACATTTGGATTCAACAGGAAAAGGAACTCCTCCAAGAGGTAGCCGGCATGGGCGAGCTCCGCGAACCTTGGCATTCAAGACAAGTGGAACTGCTGGATCGACACCTACACCTCTTGCGGCTGTACTCGCAAGCCAGGGAGAATCTACAGGCGCACAAGGGCGGCATGTTCAAGGCGTCGTCGAGAAAGAGCGACCGCAGCTTGGAATTCGCTCCAGTAAATTTACATTTGCAACGAATGTGGGTGCACAACGATACGCTCAACAAGTCGGGATTTTATGATTGGATCACTGTGGGAGCTTTTACGGCTCATTCGCACAAGTCCAAGAACGGCGGATTGATCAAGTAAGCTGCTTTCGATATCTAGGTGTCTATATTAATAATATTATTATTGATTTTAATAATATTTATTAATAATACTAATGTTTCAGGCTAGTCCAACAATTGAAGGAATCTCCGATAAAATCTGGTACAAATTGCCAAATTTCGACAAAAATCTCTATGGCTAACGACGCCATTCAAGCGATTAAACAATTGAGAAAGGAAGTTGTTGAAGCCATGAGGAATCTGATGCGTTTAGCCAAAGAGAAACAGACCAACGGGATGTTGCCAATTTGTGAGGACATGATCAATAAGACAAGAATACTCCTCAGCTTATGGGACTCAGGTAACTACATTGTGAATATAATATATTTAACCATTATTTTTCTTGTACAAATCTATCTATTTTGTATTTAGGTCTGGTGGAGGAGGCTTTGAATTTCATCGAAGAAAATAAATTGCTGCCGAACGAGGATTCTGGAGTGGGGGAAGACGCCAGTTTAGATAGTTTGGGTAGACCGAATGTGTTATCGCCTTTTAAAAGGATCACTCAGCAACTCACCTCGTTGGACTTGAGAAGTCCTGAATTAGAGGATTTCGCCACACCGTGCACTCCGATTAATGATGACGATATTTGGAAGGTGGGCTATAAAATAAATACTAATATCATTTGGGGCACTTAATTTTTATGTAACATTATTTTATTGAAATTCTAAAAAGGTGATATTGGTTACTTCTATCGTCTAAGCAAAAAATTAAGTGGTTGTGATGTCCGATTTGAGCTTTTTTAGGGTGTCATTTTTAGGTTTGGCATTATTATTATTTAAGTCATAATAATTGTATGTTTATATGAAGAAATGTTTCGTTTTAGGTACATAATAACGATACGAATTTGAATTCGTTGAACACCAGTGAAGTAGTCAAGAGTCTCTGTTCGGATATGCAAACGCCAGATGACAGTAACTTTATTCTGTTTCCGGATTGTGAAGACAGTCAAAACGAGGTGAGATAGACATACTACATTAATGATTGTAATATGAAATTTTTTGATCTTTATATTACACTAGCTGAACCGATCCGGCTGCGCTGGAATTTCTTTTATTATTTTTTCTTTATTTCCACTTATTTTTATTTATTTTTATTTGTTTTTATTTATTTTTATTTATTTATTTTTGTTAATTTTTGTTTATTTTTATTTAATATTTAGTTTTACGATACTCCCTATTTCCCCTTCCTTAAAATGTAAAAATCCAAAAACCTTGAAATGCGTCATTATTTACTAATAATGAGTTGGTACAATTCCAATTTTCAAGTTTCTATCTTTAAAAAACCGAAAGTCTTATACAAACTTTCACCTCCCGTTTCTCCCCTTAATGTCTATTTATTTATGTTAAGTAGCTACAATTCATATTTTCAATTTCCTACCTTTATGCCCCCATACAACTTTTCCCCCATTTCCCCCTTCTCTCATTTCTCCTCTTTCTCTCCCTCCTATCCTTTGTCCCCTTTCTCCCTTTTTCCACTTTCTTTTCTCTTATTTCCTTCATTTTGCGCTTAAAATATGAAAATCCAAAATCCCTAAAACACACCATTATTTATTTGTGATGAGAAGGTATACTTCCAATTTTCAAGTTTCCACCTATAAAAAAAATCGATACTTCCATACAAACTTTTAACCCCCCCCCCTAAAATGTAAAAATCCAAAAACCCTGAGACGCGTTATTATTTATTTCAAATTTTCATGTTTTACTACCTCTATGCAAAAAATCATGTCTGTGAAAAACAAATCCATCCCACGGGAACCGTATATTTTTCCGGGATAAAAAGTAGCCTATGTGGTATTCCAGACTATAATCTATTTTTGTGCCAAATTTCATCCATATCCGTTCAGCCGTTCTTGCGTGATTGAGCAACAAACATCCATACATACATCCAAACTTTCTCATTTATATATTAGTAGGATTAATAATATTAATAATATTAATAATATTAATAATATTAATAATATTAATAATATTAATAATATTAATAATATTAATAATATTAATAATATTAATAATATTAATAATATTAATAATATTAATAATATTAATAATATTAATAATATTAATAATATTAATAATATTAATAATATTAATAATATTAATAATATTAATAATATTAATAATATTAATAATATTAATAATATTAATATTAATAATATTACCAAACGTACCATTTTCATATATTCTAATATTTGTGAGGTCTTGTCTGATACATTTAAACTAGTAGAATTAAAAATTATTTGTTTTATATTAACATCAATTTTGATTTATTAATATATTCTACACATGGATTTTCATATGTAATGCATTTAAACTACTGCAAGTAAGTCTAAATTTTTTTTTTACCTGTTTAAATAATTTTGATTTATGTTTAATAAAATTTAACATTCGTGACATTTAAAAAGCTGCTTAATTCATCAAAAATTTAAGTACTTACAAGGAACAAATTATTTCATTTTTTTTTTAAACCACATTAAAATTTTCTATATTGTTTGTTTTTTCTAGTTATTGCTTTCGATTTTGAACTAGTTTTAAGGAAATTTAACTTCCGATACATTTTAACTACTTACTTATTTATTGGTATTTTTTCAGAAATTTTTATCTATATTAAAAACGTACCGCATTTGTAGAGTATTTTTTATGTTATTTTTAAACTACTAGAATTAAAAATTATTATTTGAAAATTATTTATTTAGATGAAATTTTACATCCATTAGTTATTCGCGGTTAAATTTATCGGAGATATATTTAAAATAAAATTATTTTAAATTGTTTGCATCGTCCTTTTTTAATTCTCATTATAATGCAAATAATATTTGTTACGTTTAAACATTCTTAATTGGCCAATAAGTTTTTTTAGGAATATGGATACTACAGTAAAAATGTACCGTTTTTACTATTTGCAGATTTTTATGTGCAATAAGTTTGAACTACTGCGTTTTAAAAATCAAAATCTTTTTTTTTTGCGATTTGTATTTCATTTCAGTTAATTTATACGAAATTTAACATCTGGAACATTCGAACTACTAACTTATTTGACATTAACATTTTTGTTTTATTTTTGATTTTTTTTGCATTTCTTCTCTTTATTTATTTTAATCTGTATGTTTAAATTATATTTCATTGTTATTATTATTATTATATGGGTCGTTCGGAAATGTCGTGACATGCCTGAAAAGTGAATATTTTTTAAAAGTGGAAAAGTGTGCACCTGCGAAATTAAATTAAATCTTATAAAAAATATAGTTAAAAAAAGAAGAAACAACAAATAGCTATTACTTTTTATATGTTTTAAGGATTTCTGAATAGTTTAAGATATGGACTTTAAAATTGATGATTTTATTTTAAAATTTTCACTTTATATCTTCACATAACAAATACGTGAAAAATTACAAATATCAAAAATTTGGAAGTATTTTGCAAATAATTTGTCAAATATCCTTATCTGATAACAAAAAAAAAGTAATTCTTTAATTGTTTTAATAAAATTTTCCATTTTGAACAGCTGTATCTATTTAAATCCCTATTTTAGGCTTCTCTGGAAAACGCAGACCAAGATACCACTGCAACGGAGAGTTCAAAGCCCTCGCAACCTCAATCTTTAGATGCGGATACCGGTCGTACTTTCTTAGACACCAACATAATGTGCAATTCGCCATCGGCGAATTACTACAAACCGACGGACGAACCGGAGCCCTGGGACATCACGCAATTGAATATCGAAGCTAGCGTCATGTGTTTGGTCAGCAAAGTCAAATTTTTGTGTGGCAGATGCAGCAGTCCCGCCGTACGGTTAAAACCGAATTTCAGGAACACAAAGAAAACAGTTATTCTGGATCAACCGCCGGGGACGAGATGTACCATTATCAACAAAGAAGCCGAAGCCGTGTCTAAAGCTATAAACAAAATCGTAAAAAATGGTAAGTTATATCACACCAAATGCAGAAGTTGACAAAAAACGTGTATACATTTGGTCGTTTGTAATGATATATGATGTTTTTACATTTAAATAATTTTACAATTCATGCACAATGGTCTCTATAATTTTGGTTTAATACATGATTTCTCTAAAATGAACCATAATGGAAAAATTGGAGGAAAATTTAAATTTTTCAGTATTTTCATTAGCAGTGAACATATCGCACCTATAAAATAGAGTTATAAAAAAAGTAAATCACTAAATGTCACACTAATTGAGAACACTAAGAGCAAACTAGTCTCAGTGCTAAGCCGTGACATCTGACATCTAGTGGTGAATATGTGGAGTTACAGATATGACTGTTTGAGACGTTGCACCATTTAATTTTCAGTATTTGTATCTATTTAACTAAAAAACCTAAGTTTTTTGAGTCATAACTCTATTTGATCGGATGTGCGATATATAAAAAAATGTTTAAGTAAGATGTGTTTGGAAATTGAATGTATTTAGTTCATCCTCTAAACATTTACAGGGGTGATACAGTAGGTTGTACAAAGTAACCGGAAAAACTGTAATAACTAGACAGAAAAGTCATGTGCTGAACATCAGATTTTTTTACGGTAAATTGATAATATTGGATATCTAACAAATAGATAAATGGACCCGGATGCCTCGCGTTTAAGCTCATACCGTTTTCGAGACATGCCCTTACAAGAAGTATATTATTGGCTACTTTTTCAGCTATTTACCAACAAAAGATATGTCTTCTATTTCAGCATCCGTACCTTATGGTTAAAAACAATAGGCAAGATATTCATATTAACATATAGAACAATAAAAACAAACAAAATATGTTTATACAGTGTGTCTACTGAAGTCGGTACCATATAGGAAACTTTTTTATTAAAACGTATATACATAATAAACAAAACAAACAGTGCAAAAAAGACACAATTCCTTTTTATCAGTTTTACAAAAAAATAGTTCTGTATTAAAAATTCTGCATGCTGTAAAACTAAAACTACAACCATCAAATATCGAATTGTTTTCAGTTATGCAGGAGATTTGTCGAAAAATATGAATGTTATGTAGTTGTAAATTATCTTTGTTTTTAACAATATTGTAAATTGTTACAAAGAAAAATTGATCAGAATTGGAAACTACGGTTAGGTATCCAATATTTTTAACTTGCACGAATTAATGTATTTCGTATTTATGGCAAAAAGTTTTAAAGGTCGTTTTTAATGGTAATATGGATAATATTGGATATCTAACCGAAGTTTTTAATTCTCTACAACTTTGCTTGATAACGATTTTCGATTTTGTTAAAAATAAAAGTCTTCTCCTACATAAAATTCATATTTTTTTGACAAACCTCGTACACAACTAAAAAAATTTGATATCTAATGGTTCTGTTTTCAGTTTTAGCCCATGCATGAAACTTTTTTTGAAAAATAAGTTTTTTTTGCAAAAACTAATAATATAAAAGTTTCCCATATGGTACCGACTTAACTGGACACACTGTATAATGTACAGTATACGTGACCTTTATACGACAATTACATAAAAAATGTTTTTTATCTCTTCCAAGGAAATTAGGCTACCTAATAATCTAGCTTGGCAACTAGTAAATAGTTTTTTGTTGTAAATGAAAAAATATAAATAATGCCTATGTAATTTATTGTTAAACGGCCATGCTTTGAAAACCAATATTCCAGTCTAGTTACCTAATACGCCAAAATTAATTCATGCTCAGCAACTCTGTTCCTGCCGCAGCTCAACGAAGGTTGCTGCTAGTCTATTAGTTAATGGTATTTGTATTGTTTGTTTACGAAACTGATTCAGTTCATGGTGATTTTTTGTCCATATTTGGTATGTTACAGGAGGTTTGTTATTTGTTGAATTGAACATTCTACTTTAAAATTTTTAATACACTTTTTTGTTATTTTTGATCAAAATACTGTTGATAAGAAAGTTCCACTGTTTGCAAACTTGTTAATTTATCTTTTTGAGAAGCATATGCCTATCAAGACTACTAAAAAAACTAAAGGTGACGATGAGCGGGCGGCGGCCCAAGCGGTGCAATGCACACACACTATTTACTATTTAATAATTAAAACTAAATTAAAATTAATGAGATTATCCATAAATACTATTTTACGTAAATTTTAGAAACAGTTCTGCACCTCTACAGCATTTATGCATTAGCCACCACTGGCCCAAACGAAACGAATTACTGGCCCATTGCTTACTGAATTAGGCCCAATGGTTTGCATGACCAGTGTATTCATTTTGATAATACCTTCAAGATAGTATCGCATATTTTCGAAGGCGAATCTCGAAAACTGTATGAGCCCAAACGGCGAATAATATGAGTCCAAACGAAATGCATCTATTTGTTAGATATCCAAAGTAATTTACCATGAACAAAAAGCTGATATGTCCAACACATGACTTTCCTGACTAGTTATTACGTTTTTTTCCGGTTATTTTGTGCAACCTATTGTATAATCCTAAATGTTTAGAGGATAAACTAAATACATTCAGTTTCCACACACATCTTACTCGGAAACATTTTTATTTATATATATTTATTGTTAACGAAAATACTGAAAAATTTAAAGTTTTCTCTAATTTTTCCCTTATTAGTCCAATTAAATAACGAAAAAAGCCCCTTCGAGCTTACATTAATTTGTAATTGGATGAAACAAAAAGGACCTTGTGTATTTTGATGTGATCTTTCCGAAAAAAAGAAAAAAAAGATGTAGCAGTTTTTCAAATTTTTTTAAATTAGGAAAAACCGGGTTTTCCGGAATTTTCCATTGTAAAAATGCTAATTATCTGGGCAAGTATCATTCCGATAGTGAAAATAAATGCACCATTCGAAAGAGGAGGCAAAAATAGTTCGGAAATTTATTGCACAGGTAGTTTTAATGGCGAATTTCTCGCCGCCAGAAGTGCTTTTACCAAAAAGTCGTTTTTTCGTTTTTTTGATCAGAACCATGGACATGAAATTTGCGATGAATTTGTGGCGAAATTATAAATGTTAGACATATGTGCCCATGAGAGAAGTTGCGTATTTTTTTGTTGGCTCTCAAATAAAATAAGTCCCGCGGCGAAATCTGACATAATTTTTCGGGAATTCGCAGGAAACCAGAGGCGTAGTTTTTTTTTAATTTTTTTCCCATGTGATTTTTTCCGGGTTTTCCGAAAACATCTAACAAAATAAATATATTTGAAAAAACTAACTTCGCCATCGAAAAGAGCACAAAAAAAAATACACAAAAAGGTATACTTTAAAAATGTTAGGAAATTAATCCTAAGCCTGAGTGTAAGTTCCAACTTGGTGATAAGCTTGCTTTTTGTTCGCTAATATCTGGTAATTCTATATTTTGCACAAAACTCAAGAAACGTCTTATAACAAGTCAGTAAAATACAATTTAATAAATTTTAAGCCTAATAAATTTAGATATGCAAGAAATTTAAAACTGGAAATCGCAAAAAAATCAAATTACTGTAATATGTAGTGTATACACGAGTTTTGGATCCCGCGGAGCGCGTGTAATGGGACTTTTGTCGGGAGAATTCTACAACTTAGAAGAAACATACACACTTTAAACTTTGTATACACATTTAGAAGACATGAAATTTGGGTTTGTTTAATTTTCAGACAAAAAAACTAAAAATTGTCAATTTTAGGCAACTTTTCTCAAAAACCGTGTTTTTTGGTCGTCACTCAATGAACAGTGGTCAAAAAAATAGATAAAATATATTTGCAGAATTTTCCGTAATGTAATCGTATTCTAGACACAATAGAATACTCAAAAAAAAATTTATTTTTTTTTGGAAAAAAAAATTATTTAATTGTTTGATATCTTAGCCAATTATGGTCCGATGTCGGTGAAATTCACACACACATAAGATTTCACATTTAAGAGTAAGCTTTGTAAGTGGCATTAAAAAAATTCAAATAGTTTGGCCGTTATAGGCAAACAATGAAATTAGGACCGCGGTGCATTTTGCTCTTCCGCCATATGCCCAATTTTGGGATTTCTCTTGTCCCCTTCTGGGAATCACTAGTCACATCCCTTAAGTTCAAAACGCATTTTTGTTTTTTCAAATATCTTAATTTTTACCAATGTTATAAAGAATTTAGTGTTTGAACATTTAACAAATTCAATTTTTCGACCTTCGTCGCCTCAAAATACTAAACAAATTTCAAACGTCCATACCGCGAGAACGGTGCATCGGATCAAAATTTCTCAAACAGATGTTCCTTAAAGTAAAAAAAAAACGACACCCTATAAAGCACCCCTTTACTGCAGGATGGTAAAGCTTAAGTTTAAAATTTGGTGTTTTTGTCTTTACCGTTTTTGAGTTATCTTCAAAATTCTAAATTTGCACATTTCCTCAAATATCTCGAATTCAGTTTATTTTAGGGAAATAATGTATAAAAACAAGAATTATAAATAATCACATAATAAGCAACTTTTATTTGAACAATTTTCTTAAAAATTCGATTTTAGCACATTTTGTCAAATGTCTCGAATACGGACCATTTTAGGAAGTAGTAATAAAACACCCATATAAAGTACCCTCCAGATGTTCCGACTATGCCTAAAATCTAATCAGTTTACTGCATGATGGATTAAAGCTTAAGTTTTAAATTTGGTATTGTTCTATTTATCCGTTTTCGAGTTATCTTTAAAATACGAAATTTACACTTTTCCTCAAATGTTTCGTATACGGTCCATTTTAGGGAAATCATGTATGGGTCAAGAATGATAGAGAATGACATCACAAGAAACTTCATTTGAACAAATTTTCTTAAAATTGGAATTTTCACATTTTGTCAAATTTCTCGAATAAGGACCATTTTAGGAAAATTATGTACAAGACAAAAATTATAGAGAATAATATTGACAGTAACTTATTTGAAGAATTTTCTTCTCAAAGCGTAAATAACAGATATTTTGTTCTATAAAGTAGAAAAACGACTCT